AATACGGGATCAGTTCCAGTAAATACCGCCACGTCACAATTGCTGGATTGCTAAGCAGCCAGGGGTGTACAAATGCCAAAGCAGGAATGATACCTTCTGTCACATTCAGTGGGTGCTACTGTCTGCCAAGCGCGCCTCATTCAAGTAAATGGGGCCTCTCTGCTAGCGCCCTGCAACTGCATGCTTCTGAGGGGTCCAAGGTGGTGAGAAGGCAACACAATGCCTCCTCACTGTCTGCTTTAACCCCTTGGTAGCTGTACTGCACAAGATTGCAGGGCACTTGCAGAGCAGCTTCATTCACTTGAATGGGTCTCGCTTGACGGTTACTACACCCGCCAAATGTGACAAGGCGTATAGTCCCTGCTGCAGCCAGGATATGTGTACACCCTTGGCCACTGCAGCTAAAGGGGGTGCATTTGGGGGGGTTGGGAAAACAATGCTCAACTTTGGAGTATTTTCACCTCCCAGAACGCAAATGTATAGAGCCCTTACTGCGCTGCCCCCTATAATAGTAATTCAGAGTTCACAGGGTTTTAGATGTGATTATGCCCAGTTCAATCTGATCTGAAGAAGCTGATAGTAAATTTGTTTAACCATAAACGACGCCCACCATTTTGGACTGTGCACGCTCCCCGGAGCGCGTGACACCGCAACCCGGTGCCCACTGTGTCCCACTGATCGCTGTACGGGACCTCTGTGTGAGGTCCCGATCACATGAATAGGTGTAAGCGAGATGTCACTTCTGACATCATTGCTTACTACTAGTGAAATCTGTGAATGATCACAGAGATCACATGGTACAAGGCTATTCACAACAGCCTTGTACCATGTGACAAGCTGTGACCAATCACAGCTCACACTTTATTTCTCAATGGCTGTAAGAATGCAGCCAGAGAGGAGAAATGATTGATTTTACAGCCTTTATGGGTGTAAAAGCAATCAGCGTAAAAAAAAAAAAATCTTCATCATCCCCACAAGTAGTACAGTGTCACTCTGGTGACACTACACTGATAGGGTGACAGTATGTTAAAAAAAACAAAAACATAAATAATATTATAAAAATAAAATAAAAAAGTAAATAAAAATGTTTAAAAATTATAACTTTTGGTTATAAACTAATTTGGATTATTTTTTTTACTAAAAAGATAACTGAATAAATTTTGGTCAAGATTTATGAAGAAAGATTATTTATTTGCAAAATGTTATAAGAAAAACACTTTTTTTTCAACATTTTTGGACTTTTTCATTTATATAGCAAAAAAAAAAAAAAATCCCAGTGGTGAATAAATACCACCAAAATAAAGTTTTATCTGTCTCAAAAAAATGCTAAAAAATTCATATGGGTACAGTGCTGCATGACCACGCAATTGTCATTCAAAGTGTGATAGCGCTGAAAGCTGAAAATTGGCCTGGACAGGAAGGGGGTAAAAGTGTCCGGACATAAAGTGGTTAAAAAAGACTTTCCTGCTACAAGGTAATATCATAATGTGTTAGTATGCATCGCAGAAGGCTTTCATCTTCACCTGGTCTGCCTTCTGGGTTCGCTGGCTACAGCTGCTTGAATGGCCAAGCCGCCATTGATGTCCCTCCTGTGCATGTGCATGGGAGTCTCAGCCAAGGAACACAGCTCTGAAGGAATGGCGCGGGGATGCCGTTCTTTCAGAGCCCATTTGCTGGATTGTCACTGGCTGCTGCCCCATAGAATATCTCCTAAACAGCGAATGTTTAGGAGATATTAACTTTACCCAGGGGCGGACTGACCATTTGGAAACTCGGGCACTTCCCGAGGGCCCAGGGTCAGTAGGGGGCCCCATGAGATGCCCCTGGTACCTTTTTCATAGGCTTTTTTGAGTTTGAGCAAGGACACAGGGGCCCCATGATCCCCTATTTCCCGGGGGCCCCATCAGTTGTCAGTTCACCCCTGAATTTACCTACAGGTAAGCTTTATTATAAGCTATAAGTAAAAATGAAAAAAGTGACTTTATTACCACTTTAATGCAGGAGAGTCCACTTTCAGTATATCACACAGCTAATCCCTCTGTCTTGTAGCTGTTGCTGCCACCGCTCCAGATTGTACAAGCGGGGATATGAAGTGGAGTGCAATTGGTATCACTCCGCCTTATGCCACAGCTGGACCTATACAAGCATACATATAAGGTATCCTATACATTTGCTCCCTCCGCGGCTGGCTCAGCTGGATCTGATGGGAAGTAATCCCACACAATATTAGGACTGCACTGTGCTTCATGCTGTCGGGATGTCGGGTCGCCAAGCCGAGGGTGCGGTCTACCAGTCACCTGGTTGCCATCACGGGTTGCTGACCCCCGATCTAATCCAATAAAATAAATAGCAGAGTAAGCTTATTGTTACTGTCCTTAAAGTGTTACTAAACCCCCAACAGTAATATCAGTCTGTATATGCAGTAAAGCATGCTTGTTATACTCACTATGGAACTTAAGGGGTTAATGCTCTGCATTGTGTAGAAAATGCTGTTTGATCCTGACATCTCTGATCCTCCCCTTCTTCCAGTGCCCCCCCTCTTATCTCCTGATAAGACATATCCTGTGGATATGTCTGCACATGTCTATATGTCTATACTCTGCACAAGCTCAGTTTGGTGTGTATTGCTAGAGGGGTTTTTTTTTTTTCTTGGGAGAGTGCATGTGATCAGCACAGGGCCAATCAGCACTGTCCAGACAGAGGTCAGGGGTTCTGCATCCTTCTAGATCAGAGTGGGTCCATCTTCAACCAACCATCCTCTGCACTGTTTTCCATCTCTTTTGTCTGTAACCTCCCTAGCGGTATGATTATATCAGTATTTCTGTGCTCAAAGTGGTAAATTTTTTTGCATGGAAATATGTATTTTTTTTATTGTAGGCCTGTAATTTTTAGGAATAACTCACTGATATCTGTCCGAACAAGAGTCTAGTAAACATCACAGGTATGATAAAATTTGAAACACAAAATCATAAATTATAATTTAATAAATAATCATAAAAAAAATAATAATATAATAATAATAATAAATTTAATTAAATAATATAATCAAACCAAAAACACTGAAATATGAAATAAAGCGCCAAGTTCGCACATCACTGAGCAAAGTTGCAAAATCGTTTTCAGTGTCTGATGACGAATTTCCCCACAAATCATTATCACTCAATTCTGCAAGTGGTTCTGATTTACTATCGCTGTTCTCTAGCTGGTCTAAAACCGCTTTTGACCTAAAGGGACGCTTTTTGGACGCCATGGACGTTTCTCAGTTTCCAGGCAGAAAGAACAGTAAAAATGCAGGCAGGGCCCAGGACAAAGCACTCGGGACAAAATGTATGTGAAATGGTTTGATACAGTAATGTTTTACTATGTGATTTTAGTATATTTAGTGAATCTCACTTTTTCACATTTTTAAATTTCCCACCGTTCCGTCCCCGTACGTCCTGATGTCGCAGGGAACAAAACCCAGAAGACAGATGCCGACATCAGCCGGAGGACATTACAGGGGGCACTGCAGGAGGGACATCGCGGGAGCGCAGGACAAGGTAAGTGAAGAAGAGATCCCGGAGCAACGCTGCAGGGTATTCCTGAGTGTAGCTCGGGGTTACCATTTGTGGGGCTGAAACTTTACCCCGAGCTACACTCGGGAATACCGCCAGGGAGGTTAACTTTGTTTTAACTTTGAGATTCATACTTGATTATTATTTTTTCATGTAAACCCTTGTTGGGGAATTCCTGGCGCTCCTTGTGCTTTTTTCTATCACGTTCTATTGAGATTACCAAACAACTATGGACCAATTGCTTTATTTTAGGGGGCTGATAATTCACCATATCCCGGTAGATTGCGATATAAGTCGGTGCATGGACTACAACTATATAAGCTGTATGTATTGACTTATTACAATGCATGATAATGTTTTTGATATATGTATTCATAGACTGACCACCAACATACCCCTGAAGAAGATTAATTCAAAATTGAAACGCGTTGGGTTCCACGTGTAACAATTTGTCAAGTTTGACTACTGTATTTGATATAAATTTGGTTCCAAGTGTAGTGTTAGGTGGTTATAATATAATAAGTATTACTGGCATATATTTGGCCACCCATATTATCAGCCTTGTTGTTTTATTAATGTCTTCTATGAACTTTGTAATAAAAATATATTATTTTTATATTTTGTTCTTGCTTTTTTGGTGCCTGAAAAACAAATCACATTGTTCAATTTTTTTTATTTACTAATGAAATTAAACAAAAACTAATGCAAAAAAAATTGCAGACAGTGAAAACTGTAGAGTCCTCTTACATTGGTTCCATTGGTTCTCAACCTATGGCAATCTCTTGGCTAGTAAATGTTGGTATCCCAATACCGAACATAATAGTTTTGTAAGCATATTACTGAAACTTCAGTAGGTAGATGTCAAATTGCTGTTGATGCAGCTTGTGGCCAATGTTCTGTATCACAAAGAAAAACATACAGTCTGGCCAAAGACAGTATTGCAAATGAGTCAACACCTCTGACGCTCAATATAAGGTAGTAGGACTTTACGTGGACTTAAAGAAAAAAGTTTTTTGCATTATCAAAATAAAAATTGTTGCATTTTTCTCTGCTTGATTCCTTTGTCCTTCCTGTCTTTCTCAGTATCTGCTGAACTACAGCTAATAAGACAATCCAAACATTTGATGTCTTTCCATATACAACTATGCAAAGAATAGTTTGATAGATGCTTGTCTATGCTGCATCTTTTTCACAAAAATAAAAAGTTGCATATGAACCATAAATAGCAGATATCACAGGGATCCGAGGTCTGCTTTGCAATCCATTGTATATGTGCAATAAACAGATAAAATGAAATACAAAGCTTTACATTGATTTTCATACACCAATACATTTCTAGTTTTGGAGCAGCATGATTGTTATATACAGCTTGTTTCTTATGTTTTAAATAATTTATGTGAATGATAGTTAAGTCAGAAGCACTAATCTATTTTCTTTCCACCAGTTATGAAGATGGCTGAAGCCACAGAGGATCCAGGTGGGGAGGAAGCATTGAGGGGGACACCTGGGAGACAGAGAGAGCACTCTCCCATGTTGCACCTGGACCTTTATAACTTTGAGTGCCCAGAAGCAGAGGGAAGTCGTTATGTGTTGACCAGTCCCCGTTCTCTGGAGGCCTGTGCTCGGTGTATGGTGAAACCAGTAGAACTATTATCGAGAAGTCTTTCTGATTTGGTCAGAGAAGCTCCAGGACGATCTATGCGGGTAGCTACTGGTCTTTGTGAGGTTTATGAGATAGAAAGACAGAGAAAGCTGAAAATGTGCAGGGAAGAGAGGGAACGAATAATCCGCCAAGAAAAGAGGAGAATTCTGCCTTTGGTACTGAGCAGCAGCCTAGGTTCCCCATCAAGTTCAAAAGCACCCTCTCGAGCTGAACTTTCTGCACCTGTTGTGCCTAAGAGATATGACTCTCCTCCCTATACAGGTACACAGAGGAGCAATACACCGCTCTCTGATTCTGAAAGATCTAAATCTCTTCCTTCTAAAGGCACCCAAAGATCCAAGCCACCTCCTTCCAAAAAGCAGCAAGTTCCAGTATCCAAGACTAAAAAATGCAGTACCACCCAGTCAAAAGAATATCATGGCAGTGGTGATTCAGTCACTAGGGTGCCCACAAGAAAGAGTAAAAGTCAGTCTCTGGACTCTCTTCAGAAGATGAGAGATGGTTCCTCAGGTAGGACTTCTTCAGAGTCTATAACCTCATCCTATAGCGGCGACAGCTTCAGAGGCAGAAACACTCAGTTCATACCAAAATCCAGAACACTTGATGCAGTAAATTCTCTTTTAGGCAGAAGCTTCAGTCTGGGAGATCTTAGTCACTCACCACATACAACAAAAAAGGTTGAGAAGATGGTCAAAGAGGTGAAGAAGAAAGGTATCCAAGAATTGCCTCAGCGAGACAAAAAAATTGCAGCAATCATGATTGCCAGACATGAAGAGGAAAACATTAGAAATGAGCAGCGCTACTGGGCACACCTACAGTGGGAAACCCAGAGAAAGACATCAGACCTGCGAAAGGAGCAGGAGGAGAAAGAGAGACAAAAAGCTATACTACAAGGGCAAAAGATACTGGAGTCTCAAATGAAGAGTAGACGTGGCAAAATCTTCATGGAGGAGCTTAATTCGGCAGCCATAAACCAAAGTAAGAGTTTGCTCCATGAAGCACACCTAAGGGAGCAAGGTTCAGGGTTAGAAAAGCACAACAAAGTAGAGTCAGATAAAAGTAAGAAGGAAGGACAGCAAAAGAAGGCCCACCAGGAGCAAAGCACAAAATCCAAAAATCTCTCTGATGAATTATCTCAAGATAAGTTACTTGTTGCTCAGCAGAAGAAACAAGAGAAAGCAACTCAGCAGCAGGTTAATAAAATACTGCAAAACAAAATGGAGAAAATTAAGCACCAGGTACTTCTTCAAGAAATAGTCCAAAAAGAGGAATCAGATAATGATGAACTTAGAAAGTCACTTGAGAAAAACCTCCAAAAAGCACAAGAAAAGGTAGAGCTATTACACGAGAAAAAAAATCAAGAACTGAAGAGCAGGGCACAAAGGGAGGAAATGCAAATCCAAAAAGCAAGACAGGCAGCAGAACGTAAGAAAAGGAGCGTGCACAGCATTTAAAAGAACTAGCAAGGACTGCTGAAAAGAGACTACAGCACGCATCCCAGATAGCTGATGAAGTTGTACAGCACAAAGCAAGGAAAGCTATTGAAAGCCGACTGGAAAAGGAGAAAATCCAGAGGGAGAACCGACAAAGGGTGCTGAAAAATGAAGATATGAAGAGACAGGAGTTGCTGATGTCCATAGAAAAGAAGTTAGAGCGCAGTGAACAAATATTCAAGGAGAAGCAGACTGTGTTAGACAATGCACGGTCAGTGGCCAGAGCTTCCTTTAATATCAGGGAGAAAGTGAGAGCTGAGACAAACATACGCACCTTTGACAAAATGGCTCTGGAAGCTGAAATGTATGCAAATATTGACAAAAAATAATGGATCCAGTTGAGTAGGTAACGACAGCTATGCTAGCAGCTCTTTATTCCAGGGTATGTTTGTCCTCTGATACCTGCACAGTAATAATGCAATGATATCCTAAAGGCATAAACAAGTGTATGTTTTTAATCAATGCATTATATGGGTTCTTTGTTTACTTGTAGTCAGATTACCATGATTTATAAGTAGGTAGTTTACGCACAAGCTTGGATTTAATGTTAGTTAGTCTGTGGCGAGGGGTGGCAGAGGTCAAAGGTCAGCTTTCTCCCCAAAATGTTTTTATGCCAACCAATGTTGTTTCTGTGGTTCAGAAGATATGATCAAGGGGTGAAATCGCAGAGTGCTGTGCATTAATCTGCATTGAGCTTAAATGTGAATCCTACTGAATGTGTTTTGTAAAAAGCCTACCGCAGGGGTGTCAAACTGGCGGCCTTCCAGCTGTTACAGAACTACAAATCCCATTATGCCTCTGCCTGTGGGAGTCATGCTTGTAACTGTTAGCCTTGCAATGCCTCATGGGACTTGTAGTTCTGCAACAGCTGGAGGGCCGGCAGTTTGACACCTGCGGCCTACCGTGTAGATCAGTGGTCTCCAAACTGTGGCCCTGGGGCCAGATGCGGCCTTTATCTAGCCCTTGAGGCATTATTCTTGCCACTTACACCAGCAATGGGGCATAATTCCTACCACTGACACCAACAATGGGGCACTATTCCTTTCACTCACACCAACGATGGGGCATAATTCCTACCACTGACAACTAAAATGGGACACTATTCCTTCCACTGACACCAACTATTTCTCCACCTAATACCAAAGATTGGACATTGTTTACTTCCACTGTCTAATCCAGCCCCCCTAAAGTCTAAAGGACAGTAAACTGGCCCTTTCTTTAGAAAGTTTGGAGACCCCTGGTGTAGATGAGCCCAGATAGGGTATTCAATGTCATCAGACAATGGGCTTCAGTTATATAAATTTGGCTCTAGCTGTTCACACGATTCCTAAATGAGTCAGATTGTGTAGTAAGATAAAATTCAAATCTCTCCACATCTTAAAATAAGATATATTACATTTTTCAGTAAGCTCAAAAATGTATTGGTCCTAACAAGGACCAAAAAAGAGGGGAAGTACAACTATTATAGGTCCACTGACTCAACCGTAAATACAGGAGTGGGCCATGCACCTTAAGGCTAACATAAATAATGGTAAGGAACAGACTTCCTAAAAAGGTAGGTGCTACAACCGGTCCATGTGGTTTTTGCTTATGACTGTACAATGCAACTTTTTTGATAAATAGAGTTACAAAAATAACTTACTATAGCACTATTTGCAAAAAGAGACAAAAATTGATCGTTGTCAAATTCTTTTAATGTATTAGGGCTCTTTGACACGGGACGGACCCGTTTAGCTGATCCGCTTGCTCAGCGGGGGATCTCTCCCCTGATCCCTGCTGAGCAAGCGGATGACAGCTCTGTGTCCTCTCTGCTGCTGCAGAGAAGACACAGAGCTGCTCGCTCTCCTCAGTGGGCGGTCGGATGAAAACAGGCCGCCTGACCATTTTCATCCGATCCAAAGGACGGAAAGGAGAATTGGATCCCCATCCATCCCTTTTTGGCGGATTGGATCGGATGGCGGAGGGTGTAAACAGACACGTGTCCATTTACACTCGCCACTCCATAGAGGAGAATGGAGGTTCCGATTGGGTCCGCCTGAAAAACATGCAGTCGGACCCGACTGGAATGTTCGTGTGACAGAGCCCTTAGGTTGGAGGTAATTTCCGTTTCTTTTTTGCTAATAAAGCTGTAATAACTTTTGTATGATTTATTTTGTTACTTAATAAAATTTTAATTTTTATGGTCAAATTGTATGGGCCTGTATGGGCCTGTTGAGCACCTACTTTTTTAGGAAGTCTGTTCCTTTCTTGAGGATTTCTCTCTGATACATACTGTAACCTTAATCAAGAGTTTCTCACCTATTGAAAAGTTGTCATAACAGACAGATCTCTTCTGGTTTTCTGCCATATTTTAATCAGTTGGGAAATTATAATATAGATCCATTATAAATGATACAATTTGGAGTTAAATGAGTGACCAAGATCACCACTGTAGGTGAGAATGTGCAACAGTGACACAAACAGCAGTTAGAAAGCTGAAAGGGGTTCCTCCAGGGGCGGACTGACCATTCGAGCACTAGGGCACTGCCCGAGGGGCCAGGGTCAGTAGGGGGCCCCATGAAATTCCCCTGGTACCTTTTATAGGCTTTTTTGGGTGTGCTTTGTGTGTGGGCAAGGACACAGGGGCCCCATGATCCCCTATTGCCCAGGGGCCCCATGAGCTGTCAGTCCGCCCCTGGGTTCCACCCTACCCTACTAAAATACATTTCTCTGCAATGTTGTTGGGGATTTTGCCTGCTTGATGACGCAGGTTTTACTATGTCAGTTAGGCTACATGTGCACTAGCCTACTCCGACTGCGGCCGCGGGAAAAACACAAGACGCAGCAAAAAACACACATAAATGCGGTACCATGTTTATATGCATTTTGCGCTTTCCCAAGGCAGTCAAAACGTTCCTATCCTGAATGCGATTCTTCCGCGTTCAGAAGAGGGAGGTTTAACCTCACTTAAATTCAGCAGCTCCTAAACTCTACTAAAAGCCTATGGAGTTTATTTACTAAAGCTGGTTGATTCAGAATCTCGTGCACCTCACTCGGTAGTAGCTTCTAGTCTCAGCTTGTTCAGTTAAGCTTTAGCGATAAAACCTGGAAGCTGATTGGTTTCTGTACAGAAGTGCACGAGATTCTGAATGAACCAGCTTTAGTAAGTACACCCCTATGTGTACATGAACACATAGGCTTTTATGGAGTTGAGTTTAGGAGCTTTGGCAAAAAAAACCGCCAAAAGCTCCTAAACTCAAGTTTAGGAGCTGCCAGTGTACATGAAGCGAGGAAATATCTCTAAAAAAACAAATCTCTCTAAGGCTAGGTTTACATCTATGCAGCTTGCATTTGATCTGTTTTTGCAGTGCATTTTGTGTTGCGTTTTGTGTTTTTGCACATGCAGTTTTTACGCATTTTTGACGCTTTTTTTTATTTCTTGTTGCTAGGCAGATTTAAAATGCAAAACTCATCAAAAATGCATCTAAGGCTAGGTTTACATCTATGCAGCTTGCATTATTAATATTATTATTTTTATACAGGATTTCTATAGCACCAACAGTTTGCTCAGCGCTTTACAATATAACGGGAGACAATACAGCAGCAATACAGTTCAATACAAGAGGGATGTGAGGGCCCTGCTCCTTGGAGCTTACAATCTAGGAGGAAGGGGCTAGTGGTACAAAAGGTAGTTGCATTTGATCTGTTTCTGCAGTGCGTTTTGCATTGCGTTTTTGCACATGCAGTTTTTACGTGTTTTTGCCGCATTTTTTATGCTTTTTTCTTGTTGCTAGGCAGATTTAAAATGCAAAATTCATAAAAAAATGCATCAAAAATGCACCACAAATGCATCAGAAATGCAGCAAAAACACACTACATGCTTTCTGCAGCACTTCGATTGACATCTATAGAACCAAAAACGCAACTTTTTGCATTTAAAAATGTCCCTGACCCTTTCCAAAAACACACTGGGTGAAAACGCGGAGATGTGAACATGTCCCATAGGAAATTATGTTAAATGGACTGTAGTGCGTTTCTGCAAAATGCTGCGGAAAATGCTTAGGTGTGAATCTAGGTAAGGGCCAAGTCACACTGACTTGCACTAACATGGAAAATGGATGCACATTTCCATCCACTTTAGTCACAGGCTGACGTCCATTGACATACATTTTGACATCCATTGATGTGCATTTTGACATCAGTTGACATGCATTTTAGCACGTGTCAAAATGTACTGCATTTTCACAGGATATCCTGTGCATTGCCATGACATCCGCTTACATCCACTTATATCCGCTTATATCGGCTTACATCCATTGAGTTGCACTAAAATTCATACATGTTGCATTTTAGCGCAATGCAGGTCAACACAGCATTATGGTGTGAATCGGATGCATTGGAAATGATTGTTTTTCAGATGTTCTTCTGTTGATCTGCATTTTACAGTTTTGCTAAAACTCAGATTAATGCACTGGTGTGAATTGGTCCTAAAAGAGCAAAGGATGACAGTAAAAACCTGTCATTCTCTGACATTTTATCAAAAATTACAGAAAAAACCCTGTTTTGTCTGACATACACCTTAATCTTGAAAGACTTGGCAATTTAATGCGAATCAGGTCATCTTGACTTTCCCTGGATTCTTACTTATGAAAAAAAAAAACCCATATCAAGCAAAGGTGTTACAATATCTTGTCCGAGAAGCTGGCAATAATCAACAGCTAGGAGATCTGAGCATCACTCTGCTCACATGTCACTGGTTGGAAACGAATATTATTTCATATATACAAAAACAAAAACCTGCGCTAAATGCGTGAAAAAATGTGAGTCATACAAAATTGGAATAAATAAATAAACAAATGAAACACAATATTGCTTCTACTTCCAATAAATCGATATAACACATAAACGAACCCTCAAAGTGATTCAGTAGCGCAAATTACATGTGAATAAGTGTAAATGTGAAAAATCAACATTAATGAAAAATAAAGTCCAAAAAAAAAGTCCTTATCCACCAAATAATCCCTATGAGTAAATTGGATATGACGAAACGTGCCAGGATGAGGCTGTGCGGCGACTGGAAGTGATGCAGGAGTGCCATTGACTGGGAATCCAGCGGTGGTGAGAACATTGTCTTGGTTTCCATCAGTGTTTACACCTATTGCAACATCTTTGGGCTTTTGACTTGCTTTGAGTCTGTAAGTGGTTGTCTATTTTAGTGAATAAAGGAGCTGTTTTGTACTGCACCATTGGGGCTTTTCTTGCTTTGTTTTACATGACCACTACACCTGAGAGCGGAGTATTAAGAAGAAGGAGGTTATCCTTGATGCTATCATAAGTGCCTTTGTATTAG